TGTGTGTGTGTGTGTGTGTGTGTGTGTGTGTGTGTGTGTGTGTGTGTCTGAGGCTGAATTTGAACTCGGCTCCTCCTAAATCCAGGGCCGGTGCGCTATCCACTGCGCCACCTAGCAGCCCCTTCTACATGTATATTTGATCCCATTCCCTTCTGTCTTTACCAGCAGGTTGTTTCTTCAATTGTCTCCAGCTTCTTTCTAATTTTATATCTCTTCCTATCTTCTTGTTCCTTCCTTGCTGCCTTTAAGCATACTTGTCTTCCCATCCTTAAAAACAAAAACAAAAAAACTTCCCTAGACCCTGCTATCTCCTCAAGCCTCTATGTCTCATCTCTTCCTCTGCCAGACCCCTAGGAGAAACTGTCTTATGTTCCTTGCCTTCACGTCTCTCTTCTCTATCCACAGTCCTATCTGACTTCTGCCTCATCAGTCAACTGAAACTTCTCAGTGCAAAGTTAGTAACTATATTCTAATTGCCAAATCTGATGATCTTTTTTAGGCCCTCATCCTTTTTGGCCTCTTTGCTGCATTTGAAACTATCACCCAAAGCTTCTTTGGGTTTTTGTGATGCTACTCCCATCCTGGTTCTTCTACCTGCCTGAACAAACCAGGGGTGGGGAATCTTCTCAGACTTCTTTGCTCTGTCATCATTCGTGTTCTGTCCACTAATTATGGGTATCCCTCCAAGTCTCTGCCCTGAACCCCTTTTTCTTGATAGACTCTGTGTGGTCTCAATGAATCCCTGGAGCTATCTATTAGCCATTTCAGACTGAATATCCTGTAGATATCCCAAACACAACCCATCCAAAACAGAACTCATTCTCTTTCCTCCCAAACCCACCTCTCTATCCCATTTTCTATCAAAAGCCCCACCATCCTCCAGACTCCCAGGTTCATGACCTCAATTGTCATCTTTGATTTCCCACTCTTCCCACATATCCATTTAATCAATCCCAAATCTTGTCATTTCTATCTCCACAGCATTTCTAGAAGCTGGCCCTCTTTGTCATACAGCTCAAATTCTTTTCACCCCTTGCCTAAAGACTATTGCAAAAGCCTGCTGATCAGTCTTCCTGCCTCAAATCCATCTCCCCTCTAATCCATATTGCACACAACTGCCAAAGTGATTTTCCTTAGCCCAGATCTGACCTATTTAATAAACTACAGAGGCTATTTCTTGCCTCTAAGATCACATATCTATTCCACTCTAGCTTTTAAAGCCCTTCACAACCTGGCTCCAATCTGTTCTTCCCAACCTCATTATATATTAATCCCCTCCTGCACTCCACAGTCCAGCCAAACTGGCCTTCCATGGCAATCCACTCATCTCCCTTCCTTTGCCCTGACTATCTCCTGTGGTTGGCATTCACTCTCCCCTCAACTGCATAGAATCCTTCTCTTCTTTCTTTCTTTTTTTGTTTCCAGCTAAAGGCAAGGTTTATTAGAACATCCATCATGTTGGGCAGACTCTTAAGGAATCTGAACATCACTGAGCTAGTGGCTACAACTTTAAAAGAGCATGCTTACCCAAGTTTGGAGGCTAGCTTCTTTACTTTGAGCAGGATGTGCTAAACCTGGGTGATGCTTCCAGGCAAAGGTTGCTTCAGGGCATGGTCTCAAACCGAACCAGTGGACTGAGAGCGTGTCAGGCCAAGTGCAAGACAGCCTCATAACTGT